GCCGAGGGGATGCTGGAGTTGCCCTGCTTTCGCACTTTCTTCAAGTTAAGTCTGTTCCGAAGATCGGCGGGATGTGTCTCCTTGCGGCGAGAGTTAAGGTGTGCTCGGAGATCACTAGGCCCAGCGTCATCGTCAGAAGATACTTCTTTTTGAGAGAGGATGACCTGGAACCGTTTCCTATTTTTGGGTTGCTCCTCATCGGCGGCCTGTTCATCTCAGGGTCGACCTACAGTATTTTCGTCGTCGGACGAGTTTCTTCCTCGTGTCGAGGCTTGTCGTTCCTTTTTTTTTTACTTTTTGTCCTTGTTTTTGCTCCAACTTTTTTTGGTGTTGGTCCTCGGCTTTGGGGGCTCGGCGTCAATCTGTCCGGCTGCGTACTGTCCGATGAGGTATTCACCGAGGTGTCTGCACTCCTTGGTGTCATGACTTCTGGTGTTATGATATTTGCAGAACTTATCCGCCTTGTTTTTACGCGGGGATCTAGAGCCAGATGGTGACTTCACGCCCTCGTCTTCGCGTTAGTAATGGTTCCATCCTTTTCCCCAAACTACGATGGTAGATGGGGGAGAACCGTCGACGTGATAAATGTATCCCTTCTTCCGATCGGTACGATCTCCCGCAGAGTGTTGTCGAGGCTCTTGGCGTGCATCTCGAGAGTCATGAGTTTTTGTCGGGCCAGATTTATCTGGGTTTCTCTTGTTCAGTATTGCCCGAGTATCTTCCTCCATTCGGATGAAGTTGTGGGAGCGAGCAATTGCGTCTTCCAGCGAGGTAGTCGGACTTTGGTAGAGATCTTGCCGGAACGGGGAATGAACGTATAGTGCGTTCTGAAGAGCTTCGGCTGCCATACTGTCCGGGGCGTATACCTTGGTGGCCAAAGTTTAAAATTTTCCCATGAATTCTTAGAGGCTTTGTCCGGAAGTTTGCGACATCTTCAAGAGGTCGGAGGCAGTGGCTCCCTGACGGGTGAACATGATGTAGTGCTTTAAGAAAGCAGATGACAAGTCATGGAAGTTGTCGATGGAATTCTCGGTTAGTTGGGAAAACCATATCAAGGCCGGCCCGGTTAGGCTCTTGACAAAGAGCTGGCAAAGACCGGCATCTCTTTCTTCATCCGAGAATCGCGATCTGCCCATCACGATATGGAAAGCGGTCACGTGATCTGTCGGGTCGCTCTCGCCGGCATAGATAGGCAGTCGGAGTTTTTCAGTCAAACGGATCTTGACGCTACTGATTCGTGCTGTGAAAGGAGTGCGTAATGACTCGGCGAGCACACGATCAATTTGAGGTGCAGCACTCGTAGCGTGGTGGATCTGAGACGTTATGGTCTGTAGTGACAGTTTGAGCTTGGCTATTTCTCCTGCAATTTGGGGGTCAGAACCGCCAGCCGGTTGAACGGAATCATCCGCCGGAGTTCCCTCGGGTTGCATCGACTGGTTGGCCGGAGTCGGTGTAGGGTTGGTATTGAAGAGAAACCGGCGGACTGAAGCGATGTCTCTGATTGCTCCTTCGGGGGGTGAAAAGATGGCGGCGAGGGCCGCGAGCTAGGCGTTTGTCTCCTTCTGGGCTTCGTCTTGTTGAGCGAGGCGGGCCATGATAGAATCCATGAAATTTTTGAGAGTCGGAGTGACCGGGGTCTCTTCCGGCTGGTTCCCGGAAGAATCTTCTTCGTTCGCCATGTTCGTCACACTTCTTCGTAATGCCGCACAGTGGGCGCCAACTGTTTGAACCGAGTTTGGTAATAACAAGTAAAGATCGACAGAAACTCGTCGGTGGTTTATTTCAAAGGTGTGAATGAGCAAGTAACGAAAGGAGAGTTTTATTGATTGATTAAACAGAGATTACAAGGGAAACTACGGTGCTCGGGAGCTACCGGAGTTGTACGGATCGATCATATGAACAACGAAGTGAGTAAAACCCTAGTTTAGTTGCCGCCTCAGTCAGTCTATTTTCGGATCCCCTGTAAGTTTAGTCTCTTCTCCTCTTTATAGGTCGTTGTATGGACAACCCTAATGGACCTCCATTGGGCCAAGTTCTCTTGCTCGGTACGGAACGATGACGTGTGCTTGACTCCGAGTTCCTTGTCGTCTTGCGGGTATGGACCTTCCTCGTCTTCTTGGACCGTGTAACGGACTTTGGCTTGTTATTCGACGGGTCTTGAGGGGAGAATGAAATCCGTCCCCTATACTACAGTACATGGAAACGGTCTATCATTTTCTAGAACTATGATTTTTTTTTTCTCATAGAAGTTAATCTCTTCGTACTCCAGATGTTGTAGCTTAATCTGAAATGAAATGGCTGCGCAGGCATACTTCATTACAACATGGAGCCAATTAAGTTTTGGGAGTTTATGTCACTGCTTCATGAAGGACTTGGATATGACATGTACATTTTCTTTAAGACAAGCTACAAAAAGGTTCTTCCCCTTGTTAGTCCTAGTTAGATATTTCATTTTTTTTCTCAACTTTGTCCACTATTAACTCAGTAACAGATAACTTTATGCTGACAACTTAATAGAAGTTGGTTTCTTAATTCTTATCCCCGACAAAATCTTGCTTTTGTTTTTAGTTAATTGAATCTTAGTTTTCTCCGAAATTCATTTATGGTTTGTGGAATGATCATAAAGCAAAACGCTTACCAAAGAGATTAACAAAACACATTTCGAATTGATGTTTCTTAACCATTTTTTTGACCTCGTCTCAGATTAACACTACTTTATTATAATTTGGCAGGCCAAGTATAAAGATACCTGCTGTTGTGATGATGCCAATAGCACATCTTGTGGAACTGGTATATAAATGTTTGGGACCATATGGGATGAAAGCACCACAGCTAACACCTTCTAGAGTTAGGTTGCTCTCTTGCAGCAGAACTTTTGATTCCACAAAAGCAAAGGATCTGTTCGGCTACCCTCTTGTTTTGCCTCCTCAGGTTTACACAAACTTCTATTTTCATAAAGACATTAATATAGATCGATATATACTTTCTGTTTCGGTACTAGTAACCCTTTCACTTTCATTAATCTGTAACTACAGGAAGGTATAAAGAGGACAATAAACTCATTCTCACACGTGACGGCTCAAAACCAACCTCAAAAAGAGGGTATGTATTGGTTAAACCATTGGTTTCCATTAGTTTTAAGTTGCATTTTGAGAAAGTGAATTTGGTGGCATGGTTGATACCTGCAGTTTCTGATCCGGGTGTAGCCGCGTATCGAGAAAGCAGACACTCATTGCAATTGTCATTCTGATTACACTCTATATTAACTTTGTTGCAACGACCGGATACTTTGGACTTCTGATTTTGTTTATACGGTTCAAACATGAACTCTGTATACATACTTTGGGTTTGATGTTGATTGGTTTAGAGCTGTTTGTATTATACTGTTCAAAAATGAACTCCTTTGTATACATAACTTTGACCCTGTTACAGTCAATTTCAGTTTTCACTCCAATAGCAAATTTTACTAATCAATTTGGAATCAATTTTTAGATGTTGTCAGCTTAATTAACAATATACTAGATCATAACCCGCCAGACGGGTCTTTATTTTATGATATATATAAATATTTTAAAAATTACAATCTTATGGTTCCAATTTTACTAAATAATAGTATACTGTTTAAATATTGTATTTCATCACTGTATTGTGTAACAGAATGTTGGTAAAATGTTGTGACCCGTAAATATTTTAGTAATATTTTATAAATTTTTTTTTGACTAAATTTAGTGCAAAGTTATATACACTAAAAACTTCAGTCAAATTTTTAAGTTCATTTTTAATGAAGAATTGGAAGGCTAGTATATTACTGTTAAAAACTTATAACAATAGTCAATATAAATTATATAAATAAAATATAGATTATTATTGATTTATTCCAAATACATTTAAAACACGAGTACATATATGAATAAATAATTTTAAGAAATAAAGTAATATCAATGATAGAAAACTCAAAAACAATAATAATGGTACTTTGCGCCGCAATAGTTTTTAGTTTAATAAGTAAGCTCATTAGATTTGTAGACTATCCTTGTTTCCAATCATCATAATTTTAAATAATTCTTATTCATGTTTCCAAACACTTAATTTTTTGTACTTCAGCTTTAATAGTATAGATTATGTTCCTCCAAGGAAAAACATTATGAGAAAGAACTCCGCGGGAAATCACATTCTTGACCATATAACACAAGAGTTCATATTAATAACCTTCTTTTCTCCAGTGAATCTATAATCTGAGACCATGTCATTATATGATATCCTCAACAAGTTCCAAAGGGCCACAACCAAATTGCAATTGTCTATAAGGATCTTGACTAGCAATGAAGAGGCTGGAGTTATCATCATGGAGAAAGTTATCGAAGAGCTTCTTCAGGTAAACTCAAGACCTCTTTTTAGCATTAGAGATTCTAACTAAGGAATCATAAGTTAAATGTTTTTGCTCTGACACTCGACAAAACCGATGAGTATGTGAAACATCCACAACAGGATAAGAGTCAACATGCATGAGTAACCGATTTACTTAGACACGTTCTTTTCTGTTTAAGACTGCATCATATATAATTATTTGTCACATATAAACTCTCCACTCACTGTTTTGTATTCAGGATATTGAATTTAGAAACTGAAAAGAGATGGAATATTAAAAGAAAACTTGGTTTATGAAAATAGCTATAAAGATGGTACATAATTCAAGATAATAAACGCAAAGATTAAAGCAGAAAATGATGACATGCCCATCCATTGCTTTCACCGAACTTCAATGATCGTCTGGTTTCTCCTCCTACTTTCTTCAAGCATATAAACTCTCCAATCAATGTTTTGTAATCATTACCGCACATAGGATGCTACTATACTGCATTTAGAATCTGAAAAGAGATGGAATATTAAATGAAAACCTGATTTATAAAAATAGTTATAAAGAATAACTAAAAGAGCATAAACGAATAAATAAAAGCACAGAAATGACATGCCCATTGCTTGCACAGTTGCACCGAACTTCAATGATTTGCTCTATCCGCTCCTATTGCTCTCTTCTTTTTCTTTCTCTTTCTCCATAGTCTTCCATACTCATCATATCCTTCTTCTTCATCTTCTTTTGCATACACATATGGAGCAGAGATGCTTGAATTGAGCAGATTTGGATCTTTAATGCTAAGATCCTCTACATGATGTGCAAAGGAATAGAATCTACTACAATCGTCTACAAAGACGTGGACTCTACTAGGATTATTGGATGCTTCATGGTATTCTCCGAAACCTTGGATCTCAACACGTTGAAGAGTGCTCCTCTCAGGATTAAAGTAGTAAATATAAAACGGTTGTTTAGATGTATAATCGGCCATGGACAACACAATCTCACCCGTAGAAATAACTCCAACGACCGATGCATAATGCGGGAAGAAGAGTTTATCACCCCTCAAAGTGTGGGCATACTTAGACCATTCATGTTTCTCCACATCCTCTAGAACCCACACCCGCAACTCCACAGCATCATCAGTGAGATCATCATAGTAAATCACACCTAACTTACCCTTATAGTTTATCAATTCACAAAAGCTTTCTGGATAAATAAAGTTGAACTTCTCAGACCGAACATCAAAGCAAACTATCACATAATTAGACTTATCCTGAGATTCTTCCTCATAGTCAGAGATGTCACCTAAGTAATACAAAACCCCATTGATGCATACCCCTTCACTCACATTCTCATGTCTTAAAGAACATTTGATTTTTCTCCACCTCATGCCTCTAGTTCCTAGTGTCATAATTCTGTGATCATTAGGACCACATGGATAAGCCATGTGCAATACCTTGTACTGCTTTCCAACCGGATCAAACCCAAAGAAGCTATAACATTTTCTGTACCTATGGATAAAAGGTAAGGTTTCATACCGTCCAGTTTTAGGGTTACATATCACAGGCACGTCAATGTTATCCTCCACATTGGTCCACATACCGTAGAAATAGATTAAACCTGAGGCATATCCACATGCGAATTGTCTGTCATCACGACCATAGATCCGCATATTGTCTGGAGGGAACTGCATATGAAACTCGGGAGTTACTACAAGAGATGATGAAGGCTTCTCGTGTGGAGTCAGACGCTGAGGTAAAGAGAATATGCTCCACAGACCATATTCTTCGATAGCAAATATGAGACGAGGCTGCGGAGCCGAGGACTTGGTCAGGTACAAATCTTTGAAGTATGGACTATCAAGTATTGAAGTCCATTGCTTCGACACAGAACGAAACCTAGCGATGGACTTTGCTGGTAATCTCGACAATATCTCGATGCCGAGGTCAGTAGCGATAGAATCTGAAATCATGATCGTTCTAGTTGCTGAGAGATAGATGTGTGACTTTAGATAAACCTAGCCGTGTGCAGAGACCTTAGCTAGCGAAGGAGAAAACGGAAAGCTGCGGTGAAAAGTAAAAAGGGACTAACTGGGGGTGGCGTTAACCTAAGCACCATTGTTTGTATGGGCTTATTTTTCCCGTCATTTTGTTCAAAAAGAAAAGCCCAAAAGAACTAGTACAAGATGTTCACTGCTTACATTCAGTTTTCCAAAATTAATACTCTCAGAGTTTTGACTTTTGACATGTAAATTTTACGAGTTAATAAAATAAACTTTCTAAATTAATAAACATCAGAAATTAATAAAATTCTCCCGTCTTAAATTAGACCAGTTCAAAATAGGACAAATACCGATAACATAATAAAATGAGAAAATTGGCTAATCGGGCCACTTTGAAGATGGATTTGTCTCAATATACCTTTACCCATTTAATTTTTGTCTCACTATACCTTTACCCAATTAAATCCAAAAGTAACCCTATAATTTTTTTTTTTTTAAAAAGCCTTAAGTCATCTTCCCCGACAAACGAAGGAGAGAAACCAAGCCTCTCTCTCTCCGACCTCTCTCCGACCTCTCTCCGGCCTCTCTCCGACCTCTCTCCGGCGAAGTCCGGCCTCTCTCCCACGAAGCTCTATCTCCGACCCGGGTCTCCTCTCTCCGACGAAGCACCTCCTCTCCCCGACGAATCCTCTCCCCGACGAAGCACCTCCTCTCTCCGACGAATCCTGTTTCTGATTTCAGTTTTTAACTTGAGTAAGTGTTTGATTTAAGTGTTCTTCTTCTCCTACGTTTTGGGTTTTAACATGCATTGAATAATTCTTTGATTATTAGGAATGTGATTCAAAGTCATATTGAATTCATTAGGAACTCAAAAGTCCCAACTTTTTGTTATCAAGCCTATATACATTGCATCTTCAATGTGGTTTTGGTTGTTGTTGAGCTTGTCTTGGTTGGTTATTGTTTTACTTGACTGCAATAAAACTGCAAACTTGGCGATCATTGGAAATAACAACTGGTGGAATTCCTAAATTACTCATCAAAGAACTTGGAAAATAACTCAACTCAGCGCTAACAATCTTCTCGTCCATTCCAAAATCCACCAAAACCATCATCTTCAATTGCTCTAGTGTAGTACTTGCTTCCAACGAGAGTAATCTGCCTTTTTATTCCTTATCAACAATGAACTTCCACTCATTATTCACATCCCGTCTCCAAACACCACATGAAACATAGATGAGAAGAACCATTTGATTTGATAAAGAAGAAATAGAGAAGAAGAAGAAAGGAAGAAGATCGTTGAATCAAACAAGGGATGAATTCAACGCAATTCCCCTGTAAATTTTCGACCAAAGATAAACTTCAATAAAGGGTAGTTACTGATTTTTCCTAAATTTTCGCATAAAATAACTGAAAATATAGAATACATATTCTAACCGGGATAGAACACTGATAGAAGGTTATACTATTAATTCTAACTACTTAGAACATATGATAAAGTAAGAACACGACGTTCTATCTATGATATATTATAGAATAGATGATAGAACATATATTCTATAGTAGAAATAATAAAGAGTCTTGGTTAGAACGAAAACATACGTATTCTATAATAGTTAGATCATAGACAAAGGGTTACAACATATATTGTATGTTTAAAATAATAAAGTGTCCTGGTTACAACATATATTGTATGTCTGAAATACTAAAGTGTCTTGGTTAGAACGTGGACCTACGTCTTCTATATTAGCTATATCATAGACATATGGTTACAATATAAATACTAAATTTGATAAAACGTTGAAGACAAGTTAGAATGTGTATTTTAGCTTCGTAAAAACACTTATAATATACATTCTTACAAATCTAGATCAACACATCAAAAGTGTATTTGAAGTTTATTTTATTTTTAGCAAAAACCTATACAATATTCTTATGATTATAATGATTTTTTCATATTTTTTTGAGCTTTGTATCATTTTTAATAATTATTTCTATTATTATGAGGGTATTTATGTCAAAAACTGACTATTTATTGTGAAGGTATAAAGGGACAAAAACATTTCTATTATGGCCTATTTTTCCAATTTCCCCTAATAAAATTATATTTTTTTGAAAATTTTACATAAATATATAGATATATTTAAAATTAAAATATTATATATATATAATTAAATAAAGGGAGAATTTCAATTATACCACTTTGGTGGTACTACTTTTCATGTTTACCATCAACAAATGAACATTTTCAAAAATACACATTTTATTAAAGGATAAAAGACTCTTATATCCTTGTTCTTTATATATACACATAAAATAAATATTAAATAAATTATTAACCCTAAACCCTAAAACATCAATTATAAACTCTAGACCCTAAAAAGTAAACCCTAAACCCTAAAATATCAATTCTAAACCTTAAACCCTAAACTCTAAACCCTAAAGTAAATCCTAAACCCTAAAAATCAACACTAAACCCTAAAAATCAACACTAAACCCTAAACTATCAATCCTAAACCCAAAACCCAAAACCCTAAATTCTAATAGTATTTTGACTATTAAAATTTTAATGGTAAAGTTGGTTGGTGTAAAATTGAAAAGTGGTATCTTGAAAGTGTTATTTCTGGCAATGACCATGATATTATTTATTTTATATTTTTTTGACAACAAAAGCTATCCTAAGTAATTGGTCCTATTGGTTCAGAGAGCCAAACCGGAGGTATACAATCAACATAGAACATAGTTGAAAGAGAACGCTTTTCACCTCGCGCAAGCTTGTCCGTCATTGTGTTTTGTGCCCTGGGAATATGCCTGATCTTAAAGGTTGGGAAGAAAAGCTTACTACGTTGAAATTCTTCCATATGTGTAGAGAAAGCTGGCCATTCTTCAGGTATCGGCACCATCTTTAACATTCTGTCGCAAAAACCCATTTATTTTATACTCATAATTGAATTATCTTAATATTTTCTTGATATTTAATATATTTTGATGAGATTTACTAAAATTATATATAAAACCATATTTAAATTATATGCAACATGTTTTGTATACACCAAATAATATAATAAGGCCAATATGAATAATGAATTACAAAAAATAAAATAATTAATTTCAAAAAATAATTAATATATATGAACTAAAATTAAATAGTTTTGTTATTTTATTAAAAATAAATTTTAAAAATAGAAAAATTTACAAAGAAAACATTTTGTAAATTAATAACTCTATAAATCATCTATTATATAAAAGAATGTAATCTCTCCTATAAAGCATACCACGTCTATAGCCACGTCGTAAAGTCCACCTAGGATTTTCAGTGTTAACCTTGACACGTGTCAAATCTGCATTGGTTGCGTCTTTGTTCTTCTCTCTGCACATCGGGACTCCTAACCCTTATTATCATCGCCGCCTCATAGCTTCTTCATACAATGACGGGTAAAGGATAAAGTCCAGCTATCGGAATCGATCTCGGCACTACCTACTCATGTGTCGGAGTATAGCAACACGACCGCGTTGAGATCATTGCTAATGATCAAGTTAACAGAACGACGCCGTCTTCTGTCGCCTTCACCGACTCCGAGAGGTTGATTGGTGACTCCGACTTGAAGTCTGCGGTTATGGGAGGTACTCCGTCATAAACCCTCTTCTCTCTCTCTCTCTCTCATATTATTCAAAGAAGCTCCCATGAAACTGGATTCCAGTCACTGAATCTTCTTCACCTGCCTCCGATTACGCCTCCATCTCCTCCGGCGACCAGGTTCCCCCTTTTTGATCACCCTATGATCTGAGTGTATCTGTTTCTCTTTTGATTTGATCAGTTGTCTATGATATGAAGAATCCCTTTTCTGGGTTTTTCTTTCTACACTACTTCATTGCATAAAGTCTTTGTCTTTTCTCGAGTTAGATCTTGCCTGAACTCAACGGATTAATATTATTTCCCACATTTTAAGACCAATTAACTTAACTTTTGTTGTGTCTTAAAATCACGG